CCCGGCCGGGGGTTCCCCGAGTCGGCCCCCGAGGTCAGCAGAGCTGAGCTGCCTCCAGCTCCCCGTGCTGGGTAGGCTGCTCTAGCTAGGTGGAGTGTTTTCTCTTCTCGCTAGGGATTGCTCACAGGTTATTTTTAAAACCCTCCGTGTTTTCCCTTGATTAGCAATGGACCCGACTGCTCTCGGCTGCTGTGGCGCGAGGGACAAATGAGGAGCTGGAGCTGGTGACGCTGAGGTGCCTTTGGGTTTTGGTGTGAGGTGGATGCGCTGCTGCCTGGTGAGCTCTCTGCAGCTTTTATTTTGAGGGGAGCGCTCACAGGAGCTGCTTTTACCCAGCAGCCTGGTTTTCTGGAACTCGGAGAGATGTGCTGTGCTCGACATCCCTGAATGTGGCTATGAGGGGCTTGTGTGTCCAAAAATGGAGGCAGGCTGGGTGCCGCGTGCTGCTGGCTCCAGCAAGGGGATGTGGTACCCGGGCACTTGCGGTGGGTCCGAGGGGAGGAGCGGGGCTCCAGTCCCCGCGGCAGAGCCGGAGCAGCCACTGTTTTCCTGGGACTGTCATGACACAAAGGATTCGGAAAGGTGCGGGATATTAATTGCAGCTTTCAGACCTCTGTGTGCTACATGGTAATTTCATCGCATTAGAGTGATAGTGGTTTTAAAAATCGCCCTCCTCCCGTCCCCTTTTTAACAAAATACGTCTCGTTTCACAGAAATGCATTTAGGGCCGATTTGTTCAGAGTCCAGAATGGCAGCAATTAAAGCAGTGTTGTGCGCTCGGAATGAGTGGAGTAACGCCTGCCTAGGTGTGACCTCTGCTGAAGGGATGAATCCGGGCGGGGAGACTTCTGGGCATCGGTGGCGCTGGTGCCACGAGCTGCTGACCGCGGGGTACCCTGCAGTGTCCTCACTTAGTGAAAACCCCTTCACCAGGGGAAACTGAGGCCCGTTTAGAACATGTTGTTTGCCTGTGCGAGTCCCTGGCTCCGGGGCGGCGGGTGCCGTGGCAGCGGATGGTTTATGGGCACGTTTGCCGGCGCTGGTACTTGCTGCCACGGCTCCAAATGTCAGCGGTGGGGGGAACAGGTGGGCCCTGCGCATCTCTGGGGCCCCACTAATTCACAGGCGATAAATTAGTGCTGGGAGCGGGGACAAAGTCCTGCTCTGGGTGCAGGTGACTGAGCAATTCCCTTCTGGCAGGCGGAGGGGGAGAGAGAGACCTGCCTTTGAATTTATTGTCTGCGCCAGCCTTAAAGGTATCCTGCGTTCGGCGCTGCCTTTGCTCTTGCTCGGGGTTTTGGAAGCGGTGCTGAGCCTTGCTTAAAATAACGAGTGCCTCTACTAATTGCACCAGCCTGCCCGTTTGCAACGTGGACCATCTCGTGCATCCTCCCCATGAAGGAGCCAAGGGTTTCCTCGCTCCCAGAGAAGTGTTCAGTGCTAATGGTGTCAGCCCCGTGGGTAAATGGTGTGAAGCTGTTTATGCCCTGG